TCGCATCTCGCTTTCAGACAAACAATATGACTTTCGCTTCTCTAGGTCAACGGCTTATGATTTAACGAGTATTGCTGAAAGTATCTATCAAGATTTATATAAAAATGATTATGCTCGTGCTGTTGCTCTGAGCATATCGCAAGCGTTCGACACAGTTTGGCATACCTGTCTTCTTCACAAGTGGAAAGGTTATGGTATTTCTGGACGAATTATAGAAATGATTCAGTGTTTCTTATCAAAACGCGAAATGAAAGTTGTCCTGAACGGCCAATCTTCTAGATATTTTTGTTTCAATCCAGGTGTTCACCAGGGCTCTATCCCTGGGCACATTTGCTCCTAAATTTTATAAATGACCTTCCTGGTGTCATCAGTTCTCATCAAGGTATCTATGCACATGATACAGGTATTTACTCCTGCTAGACAATTTTCCTCTCCAAAATCTCTTACATATTTATAAGTCAACTGTTAGACGATACTATGAATATTGCTACCATATCTGATCAGGTGCAACTGTTATATATTTTCGAGATTCTTGCAAAGAAGAATCCGCAATATTATGAAACCTGACCTGGCTTCTCAATTTCAGCCATTCTCCCATCGTTGTAATTTAGATTCCCTGTGCCTTTTCTATAATTTCGTGGCAATTGTTCGGGTGGGCTTTCCGCTATATTAGCTAGAATTTACTAATTTGAGAGCAATACTAAATTGGCAACAGTATCTCATTAATTTAAAGGTGAAGTAGCAGCATGGCCCGGCGTTGCCCGTGCTTGATTCAAAAATCGTACGACTCATACAGCAATCGCTATCACTTGACTTAAAATATTTTTTCCCTCCCATGCCTTTAAAGGAGTGTCCTTTGCCGTGCTGATGTTGCTACATGCCTTACTTCTTGTCTATCTCACACTGCGATTTTTTTTCTAAGCCCTATACTAAACATTAAATCTGTTACGAAAAAAGAACTAAACAAAATGAACACAAAACGATAAGCTTTAAAAAAGGACTCGTAACTGGAAAAACCGAATGAAAAAAGAATGTTAACAACAAATACTTTTTCACACCCAACCCAGTTCTGCAGAATCAGAATCAACGTTGAGTTTAAACAAGCGAAAGAGCCAATTGGAGTAAAGTGCAATGCAGATTTAAATTTTTCCCACTTGTGACGAATGCAGCTATCGATTTTTTTTGCATGCTAGCATGCTAGTTAACATTCGTGTCAGTCAGCTGTTGGCTCTCACGCTGGCCAATAGAATCTTCCTGCCTATTCGTGGCAGCCAGCTATAGTCTCTCACTCTGGCCTGTAGAAAATGGCCGCAAACTACATGAAAACTGCGATAGAAGCATGAAAAAATCGATTATTTTCACTATCGATGGGAGTTGGGAAATGAAAAGTCGGTCTTGGCCTTCTCGCTAACTTGGAGCATGTGCATGTAAATATTGCTGCGAATCCGTCGAAAATTGCGGCCGCGCATTCGTTACACACACACACACACACACACGCACACACACACACACACACACACACATCCTCCTTTTCATAGATAGAGATTGGCAATCTGTAACCGTAAGGTTTATACTAAAATTTTCTTCTCACGCACGTCTCGCTTTGATCTTCAAAAATATAAATGTAATGTAAGTCTTTATCTTCTTTTTTCTTGATTAATCTTCTATGGCTCACTCTCCTTAATAATGTTTCCCTTCTTTCTTATTCATTTACGTTCAGTAACCCCGTGTGCCTTACTGGCTTTACTGAATTGTTGGGTGTGAACTGGTAAAAAAAAAAACACGTTTAATGGCCATACCGCGGAAAAAAATGCCCAAGCCATCTGGCACTTACCCTTTTGGGCACGTCTCAGGTGCCGGAAAATAAGCCTAGCCCCCTCCTGATGGCGCGGTACTTCCTGGGGGAAAAAAGTGGATCAGTGTCACAAAATTGGCACCATGGGATATTCAAACACGCCATTTAAAATTGATAATGCAATATTCTCCAAGTCGGATAGAGTTCTCTAGGTCACTGGCATGTTTATGAAAAAATAACTGCGAAAAAATTCGCCTTTCTCGCTGTCGGGCGTCGATAACCTAGGGATTAGAATCTCCGTCTCATGTCGAATCGGTCGAGTTTCGGTCCCAGCTTGAAGCGATCGGATGTCTGGCTACACTGAGAAGCTATGATACATCGAAACAGTCTGTCTATGCATGACGATATATATTATTTAGTTCTTAATCTTCTTATATTGACTTGCGTGTTTTTTCCTGATTTTTATAGGATAAATAATGGCTAAGAACAAAACAAAAGGTTCCCTTTTACATATTTATATATCTCTATCCATATTTCTGTGATGTATTGTAATTATTTACGTTGTTCGGACTGTTGTCCTCATATTTACTGTCATGTTCACAATGTTTCGGCCGTTGTACGCCCCGAACTTTTTCAGGTGACTGGAATTTCAAATTATTTCGTGCACCGGCGTGGATTGTTCTCGTTTCACGTGCGATTACATCTTCCAATCGACCCTGGTGAACGTAATATAGGATTCACTTCTAAATTTCAATCACATGAAGAAGGACGGAGTTTACAACGACCGAAACGCCGTGATCATGACAATAAAGATGAGGCCAACAGTCACTATTTATAAATCTATTTATAAAAATATATTAAGCTCAAGTCCCAGGGATTTGGGGCTTCCCCCAGGCAGTACCGCGCCTTCAGGAGGGGGATGGGTTTATTTTCCAGCACCTAAGACGTCCCCATATGGGTAAATGTGAAATGGCGTGGGCTATTTTTCCGCGATATGATCATCAAACGTACTTTAAAGGTAGACTCTGTATCATATTCGTTACCGACGTGGGCACGCTAAAAAAAAATAGATAAACACATATAGCTCCCACATAATGGTAAGACATTAAGTCGATGAAGACACTATTACCACTAATGTCTGACCATTATCTGAGCGGTATGGCTGGGAGGTATATCTGGTAAGTATTTCTGTTGTATTCGAAGAGGTTACCGGAAATGAAAATTGGAAAAGTTTTGTTGGTTAACTAAAACAGATTTCAGTTGAAAATCCATGGCCGCATTTTACTGGGTTTTATTTTAAGTATTTTTTTATTGTCGTAATTTTTTCCTTGTATTTATCTTTTTCATTCATTATTTCCATTAAAATGTATTATTTGTTTTGTCATTTCTTCTTCCAATCACTCTCTGCCTGACAGAATATTTCCTTTCGAATCAACTCTGTCCCCACCACCCCCAACACTATTCCGATAATGTTTCTTTCTTGGTAAGTCGACCGTATGCATTTAAGCGTGCTACTAGACTGGCAAAATAGGTTTATCGCTTTACTGTTAAATTACCTAGACGTAAACGTAAGTTTAGCTTTATTCTATCTAATAGTTTGTTTTCCCGCCTGTGGAACACGCTTCCGGTTTCTTGCTTAACTGCCACCTAAAATCTTGAATTCTACTTGACTAATCAGGAAAATTTGATTCGCTTCTTGCCAAACGCGAATATTTTGCCGTATATTTCAACAGAAGTTTAAATTACTTATACTAGAGGCGGTTTGCTCACATAATCATACTTGCGCTGAGATCAAAATTACGAATGAAGTGATCTTATTTCAAATCATTTTGAAACAGGAGAAATTTGAGGAGAGTTTGAGTTACACTAACGGAATCATTTTGTCACCTCGATGTGGTGTAGCAAGCTTTTTATGCTAGATCAATTACGACTGAGTAGTGAGTTCAATACACACTGGGTGCTCCACATTTTGAGCATCTGGCCACATCCATGCCACGCCTACGAAATCATTTTGGCACCTCGATATGGTGCAATACCAAGCTTGTACGACAGAGTAATGAGTTCGATCTTCACTGGGAGTGGGGGTCTCATATTTTTACCTCTTTAAGTTGTATAATATTACTCCAGTAAATCATTTAATGATTGTTCATGAACACGGAATATCTAAAGTTCCTTTTTTTTGTTGTAAAAGTATGTAAACAAAACCCTCATATTTATATTCACAGATTTTATAAGCATATCATATTATTAGTTGTTTTGAATCTGTCACGTTCTTTCTTTTGCTCATCTTCCGTTGTTTTGTGCCATCATACTAGTGTAAATAAAGCCTGTTACCTTAATTACTCGTCGTATCATCAAACAGATGTTTAATACAGATGTTTCAATATCTTGGAGGTGTTTTAACAGAGGATGGGAAATGTGACACAGAGATCCGAAGAAGTATCGAAACAGTCCACACACACACACACACACACACACACATATATATATATATATATATATATATATATATACTTAGTTTTATTGCTGTGAGTTTGTGACCCTGGGATTCACGCCCATGCGATCGTCAAAATACGCATTGAGCAGATATGAATGTACGAGAGAAAATCGAGGAGAAGTGTAGTTTAAAAACAGTAAAATCGACATTGCTAACCAAACGCTCCTCTCTGGCTAAATCGGTAATGCACGTTAGGTTCCGTATAGGATACAGGTTCGATTCCTGTCGGGGGACGCATATTTTCTATGAAAATTTCTCGAACATTCATCTTGGTAAATATTGTTTAATACTGTTTATTATAAACAGAGCATTCACTTAAATATTTGTATCTATAAAAAAACAATGTATAAATATAAAAATGTGTGTGTGTGTGAGTTTACGCATATTTACTTCATATAAATTCATAATATGTTTATATTTTTTATATATATTGATTGACTGATTTGTTTTTAAGCCTTGTCAAACTTTTGCAACTTATTTAAATCCAGAAAATATTTTCGGATTGTAAGAATCTTTGGAGATAATAATGATTTACTGTTGCAAATCTTACTAATTAATCCATAGCTGGGATGAGAAGAGATGGATCCATCACCTTTCCCAAGGGTATTTGCGCGTAAGTGAGCATAATGAACTTTACTGGAAATCAACTCTTTGATTTCCAATTCCGAACCATCAACAATTTCTCTAGACGCACATTGAAGCTTATAAGCATCTGGTATTTCCAGACGATCTCCCATCTAGGTACTAACGAGGCTCGCCATTGCTTAACTTCTGTGATTGGACGAGAACCGGTGTTTCAACCGGATATGACCGTAACCCTTTTTAGCTTGATCAGATTTTTATAAATTGAATCTAGGAATTCAAAAGAAAAAGTAATTTGATAGGACGGCTTTGTAGTTAACTCCTCAGGAAATCTGCCTTAATCAAATAAATTTCAAACAATCCTTTCCCATGCTATTTAAAGAAAAATAACAAATTAAACATTCTAGACAACACAACATATATACTTACGTTAATTTTTACAATATGCTCTCCCAAAACTAAGCTATGGTCATCAGCATGAGAAAAGGCTCAAGATGTAAGTTACAAATTAGAGATATAAAACTTGTGTATAGGTTTAATAATCTGGGAGGCGTTTTAAACGAGGGCGGAAAATGCGGCACCGAGATCCGAACACGCATTCGACTAGCATCAAAAGGAACATTCCAAGGGCTAAGCAGGTTGCTTAGAAACGGATAAAATGTCGTTAGACAAAAAGAAAGGAGTGCTGGATTGTAATACGACACATATCCTCTTATATGGCAACAGATCGTGGACCATCACTCCGCCCCACAGATGAAGAGAAAACTGGAGGAAACATAAATGTGGAACTGCAGAAGGATACTCAGAATTCCACTGAAGTTTTAAAGAAAATGGCCGCAGAAGAAATGACACATACAGAGAATCGAATAAATACAGAAAATATCCCTGAATACAAAATGAGGAAGGTAGGCTTAAAAAAACTTAACACTCACGGGATATATTAGGCACAAGAGAGATAGGTGAAGTCAGTGAGCCACTTACCTGACGAGAGTGTGTGAATAGATAGCGGAACGAGAGGCAGAAGCTTTAAAACAGAGAGAAAATCGTCTAAGGACCACATGGGATAAGAGGTCGTGGAGAGTCATGATCGCCCATGTCTTGAAGGGACGCGACACATAGAAGAAATCATTATTTACCCCTATTTGAACGATAGTGCAAATATAGTTTAAGGGTCAGCTAACCCCCAAGTCTCTCGTCAAGAAAATTTATTTAATACTGTTGTGGTAGGATCTACCTAATTTGCATAGTGGAGTACCGACCATATAAATATGGTTGGTACCGGGGAGAGAGGGAAGAATCAAGAGATTCAATCAGAGACTCTGCCCGACTGCGACTCAGTCAACACATTCTCCGGGAACGGTCTTACCAGGAATATACAAAAGACTATATGTAAATATTGTGTACACTTTCTTGTTTCAATACATTTTGTTCTAAGTAGATTTTCTGTTGCATTATTATTCAAGTTTCAACAAATACGTATAGAGTACTTTGAAAGATGCTAATGGTGCAACTATTTTGCACCTAGAGCAAATCAAATTCACTTCAATTCCAATGATCTCCAAGACGAGCATGCTAACTTTATCCCTCATTTATCAGTAGTGAATTTCTCGTAAATGCTGACTAAATCTGACGGGGTAAATAACGACCATAGGTGTGGGAGCCACCTATTTGGAACCAAGTTCCCTATAGAATTAATAGACTCCAAATATGGTTATTTTAGAATTCGTCTATTATAATATGATGGCTCTTACTCGACCCCTACTTTCTTGATTTCTAAAGCAAGTTTTGTGTCATTTTTTTGTTCATTAACATGCAAATCTAATAGTCTCTAACCACCTGATTGTGCATCGCTTTCTTTCTTTTTCCTTTTCTGTTTTTATTTTTTAACAAATCCTCCTGGCCAAATTTTAAAAATTTGTTTTCTTTTTCTATATTTCATACTCTCTCTATTTCTCTCTATCTGTCTCTGGGCGTCTCTCAATTCATTTCACTTTCGACTTCCTTCAAACTATTTGTTAAACAGAGTTGTTCAATTTATTGAAAGCTAGACGGAACAGTAATTAAAGATTTATTAGAAAATCTATTGTGTCACTGATTAAACATTCAAATCTCTCGATTTTAAAGTTGAAATAAAAAAAAAAAAAGCTATCAATTTTTTTTCAATATATTAAAAAATGTCTCCTTTGTCTAAATGGAGCCAGAGAACGAGTGAACGATATTTGTCATCGGATCGACAATGATTTATTTTAATAAATAGATGCACGGCAGTCTTTATACATTTCTGATTTTCCTAATTTTGCGGGAAAAGTTTTATTTCACCAAGAAATTCAGCAAAAATATTCGTCAAAAATAGAAAATTCATCCGAAACTGATGGGAAATGTTCAGGAAGCGCAATGCAGTCAGGAATTGCCTAATTACGAAGCGCGCGAACAAGCGACGAGATCGTAGGTGTGTCATCAGCAGCAGCAAAATCAACGACACGAGTTCGGTTTACGTCGTGAACTGCTTACGTTTGTTTAGCAATAATGCCCTAGAAAAGAGTCATGAATTGAATTCTCCCTGCATTGTATTCAGTTATGTGTTTTCTTAATAAAAATGTATCCGAACTGATATTTTAGAGAGAAATCTTATGAGTGAAAATTAACGAAAACAACTCGCTCATGACGAATTTAACTGAAAAGCTACCACCGCCAAATCTGAGTGTTGCATCAAATGACATATATATGAATTTCTCTCCCTCGCTTTCACACACATATATATATATATATATATATATATATATATATATATATATATGACCTGACGATTGCGTCTAGAATGAGACAGCCTGTTGCATCTAAGTGGTGACTAAATTGTTCACTTTTATATTTACACACGCTCTATCTCTGATATTGAGTACTTATCCCATAAATATGGCACACCCTAAGAGTATATTTCTTCATATATATATATATATATATATATATATATATATATATATATATATATTACTGCATATTTCATTAAATATACACAATATATATACATATGTGTATATATATATGTGTATATATATATTTATATATATATTGATCCTCTCGAATGTTCTTACCGACTTCTTAATGTTGATATTAAATTCATTAAGGAAGGCGCTGTAGATTTTTTTTATTTACATTTTTATTTTCCAAAAATATGTCAATTTTATTCCAGGTCATCTTCAGATTAAGAAATTCAGATATTGTATAGAATGTTGGGAATAATAATAATAATAATAATAATAATAATAATAATCTCTTGTACATGGATGATATACTTTTTGGCAAAGAGTAGATTGAGTTGAAGGGTATCCTCTTTCTTTCTATGTGCCATGTCCTTTCAGGATGTCAGAGATCATGGTTCTCCACCCCCTTCTATCCCTTGCAGCTCTCAACATTGTTCCTTCCTTCTGCCACCTCTGCCACCTATCTCAGACTAAGTTCTGTCATCAACTTCCTTAAGTCTGGCAGGTATGTCACGCGTTGTTTTCCCTTGTCTCTCTTCCCCTCTATTTGACCTGTGAGTATCAGATTCTCCAGGCTCTCCTTCCTTATTATGTGTCACAGAAACTTCAGCTGTCTCTTCTTGATGTTAAGTATAATCCTCCTCCTTGTTTGCAACCTCTCTAAGACCTCATCGTTGCTCACACGACAGTAATTTTTTTTCCGTGATGACATCGGTATGGATTTCCGATCAGATAAATGTACAAAAGTAACATTCAAGAAACGAAGAATTACAGAAACGCACTCACCAGATGTAGATGGCCCAAAGAAGGAACTGCTCAGCAACCTTGAAAAATTCGGGAGGGATATCAAAATAATCAAGAACCTATACTTGCAGCAAAACAGCATGCATACGCATAGGGAACGAGTTCAGTGAATATACAAAAATAGAAAGGGGCGTAAGGCAAGGATGCGTCTTCTCACCGGACCTGTTCAACCAATACAGCGAGGCAATCCTGAGAGAATTGGAAACCCTACTGGGATTTAACATAGGCAGCCACAAGCTTAATAACACATGATACTTAGACGACACAGTACTGATAAAAGACACGGAAGAGAAATTACAAAATCTCTTACAGAAGGCAGCGATGGAAACTGAGAAGAAAGGACTAAGCATAAACTACAAGAAGACAGAATGCATGGTCATCAGTAAGAGGAAGAGCCTGAAATGCGATTTGCAGGTCGAGAACATTAGAATCAAGAAGACGCGGAAGTTTAAATATCTGGGGAGCGTCTTTTGCAGAAGACGGTTAGTGCGACGCTGAGATCTGTAGACGTATTGGGATGGCCAAAAGCTGGGCAGAGTATTGCGAGACAGCATGATTTCTTTTGTAACAAAGGAAAGAATACTAACCTGCTACTGACATCTGATCTTCTTTAGGGCAGCGAGTCTTGGACGATTTCTTCAAAGATGTGGAAGAGATTCGGGGCGACGGAGATGTGTTTCTACATAAGGATACAAAGGATATCATGTACCGAGCATACGAACAACGATGAGGTCTTGGAGAGGTTACAAACAAGGAGAATGCTTATACTTAACATCATAAAAAGGCAGCAGAAGTTTCTGTGACACATAATGAAGAAGGAGGGCCTGGAGAATCTGATACTCACGGGTCAAATAGCGGGAAAGTGAGACAAGGGAAAGCAGCGCGTGTCATACCTGACGAGGTTAAGCAGGTGGGTGACAGAACGTAGTCTGGGGGAGGAAGCGGAGGGAAGGAGCTTGCTGAGAGCTGCAAGGGATAGAGGGAGATGGAAAGCCATGATTGCCTACGCCCTGAAAGGACTTGGCACATAAAAAGAAATAATAATAATAATAATAATAATAATAATAATAATTAGGAATTATCAAGCACATATACTAAAATATTGTGTTTGCCCAAAATGCAGATTCTGTGATAAATATCCAGAAACAATTGATCATCTTGTATCAGGTTGCACGGTGTTGGCACCCACTGAATATAAAACCCGACATGAGAGAATGGCCCAATATCGGAACTAGAAAATCTGCAACTTCTACGGGAAGGTAACTGAAAGAAAATGGTATGAACACCACCCAGAGCCGGTTACGGAGATAGGACCTGTTACAATTCTATGGGACTACACAATACACACTAACAGAACAATCGAAGCCAACCGCCCAGACATTTTTATTAGAGACCACAAACAAAAACGTGCCTCCTTATTGATATGGCAGTCCCTGCAGACTGCAATAT